ATCAAACAAAACTTTTTCTTGGCCCAGTTTTTTTACAAAAATTTTAATAGTATATTATTCATGAAGGGAAGAAAACAGGACATTCCAACCCGCTTGTGGATAAACACGCGGGCTTTGATGTTTTCCTGCCTAGGCCCACATATTGTTTTTCGTCATAACACATAACGGGAGGAAAATCGAAATTTCTCTTTTGCAGATTGACGAAAAAGTTTATAACAGACTTTTATCTTTCTTAAAGTACTTTCTCTGCGAAAATCACTCTCTCTGTTTAACTTACGTTTGAATTGAATCAAATCTCCACTCCAGAGGGGATATACAGCTTTTACTCATAACTTTTCCCAAATTTACGGGAAAATTTCGAAAATAAGCATTCTGCATAATTGTTCCAGGTGATTTTCTCCGTCTACAGCCGTATCCCGTATAGGGCTATCGAGCATTTTCTGCGCCACATGAACCACCGGTTTTTCAAAATGTCCCGAAAAAGTGAGAGTTCCATGAAAGGTTCCATGAAGTCCCTCAAGGTCACTTTGACACGCTCAATGTTCTGGGACGTCTAGTGAGTTTGGGAAGCAATGCCTGTAATCCTGGAAAAAATGGGGGAGATCGGCGACAATAGCCAGCATTGTATAATAAACCTGCACTCGTATTATTGGATCGTGATGAGAAAGATCGGAATTTTTGAGATGTTCATGCGTGACAATCAAATTGTAAGAGCCGTAAAATCGGGGCGAGCTACTGTTCTCATCGGTGTTAGAAATTCTTAAAAGTAAGAAAAATAAAATTGTGAATTTTCTAGAAAGTGCATGAATTAAAAATCCTTACATAGTGGATCATTGAATAGTCTGCAGCTTAAAAAAATGAAATTGTGTTACAGATCTTGCAAATCTACAGAGGCTCATATTTTTGTTTGTTTGTATAGCAATTACAGTTCTGTACCATCAAACTATAACAACATAGATTTTAAATTATTTAAATTTGTTACAATTCTTCACTCAAACTTTATCAGGAGATGCGTCTATCAGGAGATACTGTCTATGAGTGAGAGTGAGAGCGCAACAGAGTCTACCGCACTCCTACTCGGCTAAAAAGAGCTCCGCAGCCTTTAATTTAAAAAAACGCAATAAAAATTTTGTTTTCACAAAAAATTTCTATCTCGTCTTGATTTAGTTTGGGATTGTCTCGGATTTCATGGAAAAAAAATTACAATTACGGATATTAGAGGCCAACGTGTGTGCACACGCATTCAGTGGCGCTACCACTTCGGAGCTACGTACTAGTAGAGTACCAGCAATCCGAAATATTATTTCCGTAATATTCTTTCTATGATAAAAAAAAATCCAACAATTCAAACGCCTGACTTTGAGTCGTATTCACTATTTAGTCGTATTTATTGAACGTTTAACCTCTCACGTACGGCGTCCATATAATGCGGCTTGTCCCAACGGCCTGGAGTGTCAACTCCAGGCGTGTCAACTCCGTTATTCAACGAGCGATAATTTGAAAACAGTTGAACGGAAAAAATTGAAATAAAATGCATTGGCTGCATTGAACTTTGAAATAATCTCCCTAAGAACTGTTTTTTTTCCAATTGGTTGTGGAGATCTTCAAACATGCTAAATTTATTTATCAGAAACAAATTATCCAACAAATCGAAACTTAACTTCTGCCATTCGATAGAAGGATCATTAAAGTATTTTCAGTAAAAATTTCAAAATTTTTGGGGAAAATTTTGTCGATAAACGAGATAATTTAATATGATTGAATTGGTTCGATGTAAAATTTTAATCTACAACTTTTGTTTATTGAAAATATTTTTATAAATGCATTGAAAAAGAGAAAATAGTTCGCTGCAGGGACAATTCCATTGACTTTCCAAATATCTTTTCCAAGGTCAAATCTCTCTTAGAATTCAAAAAAATGATTTGGAATTCTAAATTCTTATTGGATTTGTCTCTTAGAATTCGAGAAAATGATTTTTTACCGTTGACGGAAAGGGTCGATACTATGCATTGACCCCGGCTGATAGGACAAGCTTATGGGTCGATGCATGGTATCGACACTAGGGTGGGCCATTTCACGGGTATTCCTGAATATTTCCGATTTCGCCTCAAAAAATGATTCTTCAGTTGATAAAATACCCCTGTGAATTTTTTCATATTTTTAAACTGCATTTCGATGGTTGCGCCATGTGTTTAAAGTTTGACTGACATTTTTGACCTACTGGCATTAGAGGTCATAAAAATTGGGTAGAAGTTAGATATCCTCAATGATACACACGTGTCAGGTAGTAAGTATGGCTCCGAGTGAGGGTTCGGGTGTTTCACCCAGGTAATATGTATCTTACAGTCGCAAACAGTACCCGGAAAAGGTTTTAGAAAAGGAGAAACTTATTGTTAAGGTACTAGTAACTAATGTTTTTTTAATGGGTAGATATTGACACGTAGATCCAATTTTTTCAATGGTTTTTTCCATTTCGAGTGGGGCGCATATAAGAGAAACACTTAAAAAACCTTTCAAAGGCCTTTTTACTGATTTGTGAAAAAATGGTCAACTTTTTTTCAATTTTTTATAAAATTTATTTTCAAAGTTCTCAAAAAGTTCCACATTTTTTGTCTTAGGTGTTTTCTTGTTTAATCATGTTCTGAGCTAGTAATTTCAATTAGTTTACAAATATTATTAAAAAATGGAAGTACTAGTGGCTTTTCTTCTTATATACCGACCGATATTTTGTAACATTCAGATGAAATTTTGTAAATAGTTTCCATGTTTTTGGATGATGCATTCATAAAAGAATGATAATAAAGGACAAACCTGTGATAACTGGTTCGTCAGTAGCGCTACAGTTGGCAGAATGGGGGTAAGGCAAACCCACACTAATGTCAAGGAGTGGTGGAAGAGAAGATTCCATTCATTAGATCAGCGAAATAATCCTTCAAAATTTCATATAACAATTTTTTAAAAACTTCGCCTTCTTTGTTTTTTTTGTATTCTTTAGTCTTTGATTATTCTTGGATATATTGAGAATTAGATAGTCCTCATGGGCAAAATATATTTTTTCAATCGGAAGGAAAACGTATGAAATTAATTAAAATGGTTCGAAAAACAATGATATAAAATAGAGTTGAAGGAAATAAGTATAATTGACCTTCTGAGTTGAATAAACGCTCCCAGGATTCTTTCGGATTAAGTTAGATTTGTGTAATGCCTTTTTTGTTACAAATGTAGTTGACACTTCTTTCAAATATATGGAAAATATAAAATTCTCAATATATCAAAAATAATCAAAGAGTAAAAAATGCAAAAAATCAAAGAAAAAGAAGTTATTAAAAACTTGATACATGAAATAGTGAAGAACATCTTGTCTGACTTCTCCGGTATGAACTATGGTATTGAACTCTGGATTCAGAGTTGACCTTGCCCAGTGCGGTCTAGGACCCTCCCCTGGTTGGAAAATCATCCGTAGAATCATCTGTATTGTATTTCGATACCCGCTCCTGCACTCGGGCCCCAAAAAAACATTCACATCTTGTCTGACATCTCCGGCATGAACTCTGGTATAGAACTCTGGATCCAGAGGTTAATCTAGTTTCTCAAATTCAATTCCCTGCTTATTAGAACCACGAGTTTCTTAAATTCAGTATCTTAGCTCTGCAAATCAGAAACTTTTTTTCGCCGTATTCTAATTACCAAACCTGACTCGCGAGACCTGGATCCTTTAGATCCTTCAGATCATCTTCCTGTGTGACCTTTAAGAGTCGTAACAACACCCCTGAGTCACTCACAGTATAGACATTCAGCAGTGGGACGCCTTGTGCATGCATGTGGTCTATCTGCTACATATATTTTATATATATGGCGATTATATGTTATGGATATTGAGAACATATATAACAACATATATTTCCACTGCATATATAAGCAGTATATAATTGAATATTTATGCAATATATGTGGAATATATTTTACATCTAGGCCACTTATAAATGACTTATATTTTACACATATTTCAGAATATATTTTTGGATATATATGACATATATACCACTTACAGCATTTGTCGCCGAAATATATGCGGTATGATTACGATATATGTCACATATATGTCTACATATATTTGGAAAAAGGTGAGAAATCAAGGGGCCCTATAATCCGATGCGTTCGAATGTTCATAAATATTGGAAATAAACAATAATAACAACACTTGGATGCATTCACTTTTCCCTTCTCCCCAGGATGCATCCAAGTATTGTTATTATGTTTATTTCCAATATTTATTGTCATTCGAACGCATCGGCTCATAGAGCCCCTTGATTGCTCAACTTTTTAACTTCCCGATCCGTAGGAAGGAAGTTATTATAATGACCTCGAAAATCGAATTAGGGTATTTTATCATATCTCCACGTTTCATGCCTCCTAGAATCATTCTATGACGTTTTCGGAGGTGTGTGTGTGTGTGTTTTTGGGTCCCATGAAATCATGCCTACGCTTGATAGTGGACTTTGATGGTTACTATTACAGACTGTGTCACACCTCGCCATGTTCGCGGCTCAGCCAAACATTCACCTGGGGGCCTATTTTCGAGTGGATCGGAAATATTTCCGAGCTCGAAAATGGCTCCACAGACGAAACGCCTATGTGATTCCTATACGCAATTCGTATACGGAGATATTTTCGTCACGGAACACTTCCGTAAACGGAGATATTTCCGATCCACTCGAGAATAGGCCCCCTGCGGAATACGACGATATGGCCACCTGCCATTATATTCGAGCCTCGTCTTCGAGATTTAAATAACTTGTAGTAGCCGCCTGCGGCTAAGCGGAGCCACACGTCTTCAGAGACCAGAGAAAAATGACGGACCCATCGCCTCGGCGCCGAGGATCCGCCATGTTGTCATCATATTCCATGTGCACGAGCGGAACGCACGCTTCTCAGTGTTTCCACAGTTTTTAATTAAATTTTAGCTATTTCTCTTCATTTTTCACGACTTCTCCTGTATCATGGGAAAACACAAGAAAAAGAGGCACGCAGAGCGTGATGAAAAGGAAGAAATTCTTCGTAAAATTCAGAAATTGAATGATCAGGTTCAGCGTCTCTTTTCTGAACAGTCAAATGTTAATAAAGGTAAGTTTTTCCTATGTCTTCGACTTTCAATATTCTTTTGGACGCTCGGGTTCGATCCTAGAGACTAAACCAAACGACGTCCGAAAGTTTTCAAGGCAGAGCTTATCCTCTATGGAACGACTCACAGCTTAACCTCACTTCTTCCCATCCTCCTCTGGTTTAGATGACGATATCGAAGACAAGGAGAATAATGGTGGGAAACTGATGGTTCGAAGCTATCGAACGGTTCTACCTCACAAGACTCAAGTCCCTTAGTGCTTGACACACCTACTGTGCCTGACGCAAATATCCTAGGCGACAAGCCTCCATCTACATCCTCTCCAGTCATATTCGAGGAGATTTCTCCTGATCTGATTGACTTGGAAAGTTCACAATTGGATGAACTCGACTCAGAACTGTTGGAGGTTCTGGGCGCAGACCCATCAAAGCCTGTTGAGACAGAGATCTTTTTCCAGAATGATCTAGAGGCTCGCTGGAGTTTTTGGTTAACCTCGAAGGTTCAACAGGAGGTCCTAACCAAAATGATGGATAGGTATCCTCGTTCTTCCAGTAAATGTCTCTTTGAGGCCCCTAAACTCAATCCAGAGATTGCATCCATTTCGACAGATGCCTTGACTCAAAGGGACAAAAAGTTTTGTGCTTCTCAAAATCTCACAGGCTCTGCTCTCGTAGCTCTGGGAGCGGCTATTTCAAGTTTACTCGCGGAGGAGATCGACAAACTAGACCTTCTCCAGAAGTTATGCGATGCAGGGAAAATGATGACCCAAATTCATTTTGGTTTCTCTACGACGAGGCGAGCTTTTATATCACCTAGCTTAAATAAGCAGGTGCGCAGTGCCCTTGAAGAGACAACTCCAGATCAGATGCTGTATGGTTCTAACCTCTCCGACAAGGTGAAAGAGTTTAAGACATTGTCCAAGTTGGGCCAGGAACTTAAGATCCCTCCAGCTCTACCGAAGAAACAAAGTTCTTTAAACCCGAAGAGCTCATTTGTGAGGTTCAGGAAACAAATGGGCCAGAAGCCTCAGACATCATCCAAATCGAGCAGCAGCTCCTTCAATCGCAGAAAATTTCCCAAACGCAACAGCAACCCTCAGCAGACGTCGTCAGCAGAGTCGTCGAACACGCACGAGAACAAGAAGCCATGGTAAGAACATCTGCAGGAAATATCAAGCATTTCCTCCCTTCCTGGGAAACAATCTGTTCTGATGCCTTCGTTCTGGAGTGCGTGAGGGGCTATAGAATTCCTTTCACCTCCATTCCTCATCAATCCATGATCCCCCCTAGAACCAAAATGCTCTGAACTGGAGGGGGCTGTCCTGAGGGGAGACTTGAACAGGTTGGTAAGAATTGGAGCGATTGAGCCTTGTGTCTTCTGCCAGGGCCAATTTATCTCATCCTATTTTTTGGTCGATAAATCAAATGGTAAAAAACGATTTATTCTCAATTTCAAAAAATTAAACAAATTCATAAAACCTCCTCATTTCAAGTTAGAAGACATGAGGACTGTTTTGAAACTTGTGTCTCCTGATGCTTTTATGGGTAAAATTGACCTGAAGGATACATTTTTTCGGGTTCCAGTACATCCAGAACACAGAAAATTCCTTCGATTTTCAGTTGGTGATAATTTATACCAGTTTACTTGCCTGCCTTTCGGCCTCTCGACTAGTCCTCATGCCTTCACGAAGGTAATGAAACCGGTCATGAGTCATCTCAGGTCTAGAAGTTACATTTCATCAATTTACCTTGATGACATCCTTGGCATTGCCCCGTCAATTGAAGAGTGTCTGATCAATGTGAGTCAAACCATGGAGTTGTTATCATCTCTAGGCTTCATCATCAATCAAGAAAAAAGCTCTCTTATCCCATCTAACCGTTGTGAATACCTCGGTTTTATCGTAGATTCCAATAGATTTTGCTTGGAAATTCCAATTGGGAAACGTCGTATGATAAAAGAATTACTCAATCGTTCACAGCCTGGAACTATTTGTTCTATCAGAGTCTTTTCTCGCCTCATAGGCTCCTTAATTTCGATATGCCCTGCTACTGCTTACGGTATGNGATCAATGTGAGTCAAACCATGGAGTTGTTATCATCTCTAGGCTTCATCATCAATCAAGAAAAAAGCTCTCTTATCCCATCTAACCGTTGTGAATACCTCGGTTTTATCGTAGATTCCAATAGATTTTGCTTGGAAATTCCAATTGGGAAACGTCTTATAATAAAAGAATTACTCAATCGTTCACAGCCTGGAACTATTTGTTCTATCAGAGTCTTTTCTCGCCTCATAGGCTCCTTAATTTCGATATGCCCTGCTACTGCTTACGGTATGCTCTACATTAAGGAGCTGGAAAGATTCAAACGGTCAAGGTTGATTCTCAATGACGGTGACTTTGATTGCCTGTTTACTATTCCAGACTCTTTTCAATCAGATTTTGATTGGTGGAATTCTCACATAATGTCCTCCTTTAATCCTATTCGGACCACACAAAACCGTGCTACGATTTTTTCTGATGCTTCACTCACAGGCTGGGGGGCAGCCTGTAATGAAAAGACAACTGGAGGCCTCTGGACAGCAGAAGAGAGACGTTTTAGCATTAATTACTTAGAATTGTTAGCAGTTTACCTAGCCCTTCGTTGCTTTGTCCATAACTTATCAAACTGCGAGATTTTGCTCAGAGTTGACAACACAACGGCTATTTCGTACATAAATAGATTGGGCGGTACTAAATTCTCACATCTTCACGAGGTGGCTCGGAAGATCTGGAAGTGGTGTGAGACCAGAGGTCTCTGGCTAAATGCCTCTTATATTCCCTCAAAGGAGAATTCTGAAGCAGATCGTGTGTCTCGGGTTAATAACATAGATACGGAGTGGGAATTGGCCCACTATGCATACCGGAGCATAGTGAGAGCATTCGGCGAACCAGATATAGACCTTTTTGCCTCTAGAATCAACACGAAATGCTCGCTGTTTTGCTCTTGGCATAGGGATCCTTTTGCAGCGTCAATTGACGCCTTTACGATCGACTGGTCACAGTATTTCTTTTAAGCATTCCCACCGTTTTCCCTGATTCTACCCACGATTCGTAAAATTTTGACGGACAAGGCTACTGGCATTCTCGTTGTGCCCCGATGAACAGCTCAACCCTCGTATCCCCTGTTTCTAAAGACAGTAGTTGGTAATCCTATAGAACTCAGACCCTCAAAGGATCTTTTGCTTTCACCTTGTAGATCAGTGGTCCACCCACTAGCTCATCAGATTACCCTGGTGGTAGGAGTCTTATCAGGGAAGCATTCATGAGGAGGGGATACTCAGCACCGGCCGCACGAATTATGACGGAGTCGATAACGGATTCTACCCATAAACAATATAACTCGTGCCTCCGAAAATGGTGGCTCTTCTGTCAAAACAGGGATATGAATTGTTTCTCAGCAAAAAGCTCGTCTTTGCTAGAATTTTTGACAGAAGAATTCGATCGTGGAGCAGCATACGGTTCATTGAACTCTGCCAGATCGGCGATAGCTCTTATCTCTGAGGGTGAGATGGGAAAAAACCCTGCTGTTCAACGGTTTTTCAAGGGAGACTATAAACTACGTCCCAGCAAGCCACGATACACTCACACGTGGAATCCTGAGTGTATCCTGACTTTTCTGGAGTCCCTTCCAGCCAACGAAGACCTGTAGATCCGTCAACTCAGTGAAAAGACAGTCACTCTACTCGCTTTATGCACTGCTCACAGACTCCAGACGTTCTCCCTCATAGAGCTGGACAGTATTCATCAAAATTCTTCAAATCTAGAAATATTGATTCTAGATAGAATTAAAACGTCACGTCCAGGTGAACCACAACCGTTGCTAAGTCTCCCGTTTCTCCCCCACAGGCGTGGGGTTTGTGCAGCTAGTGCTGTTCTCTGCTACATATCAAGGACTCGACATCTCAGGAAGGACGTTTCCAAGTTATTTATCACAACCAAAGAACCTTATGGCTGTGCTTCGCCTCAAACTTTAGCGAGATGGATTAAGTCGTGTCTCAATCAGTCGGGTGTCGATACGAGCCGCTTTTCAGCCTACAGTACCAAGCACGCAGCTACTTCCGCAGCTTCCAGGAAGGGTGTAAGCCTAGATACTATTAGAAGTACGGCTGGCTGGTCAGATAGATCTAATGTTTTTGTACGTTTTTATAACCGCCCTGTCGTGACTGATCGAAATATTTTTGCTAGAGCGGTGTTAGACAGTTAAATACCCATAACATAACATTATGTTCTTTAAATTTCTTAAACTTGATGTTTGTTCTCCCCATTTATTAGTTCCAAGATAAATGCTGGCATTAGAAAAAAAAATTGGAGAATCTCTGAACATCTACAAGTTATTTAAATCTCGAAGACGAGGCTCGAATATAATTCTACGATCAAACGAACTTACCTGTAAGTGAAGTTCGATCGGGATTATATGAAGAGCCTCGTCGAGAGATTCATTCCCTCCCTTCTAGCATTCCCAAAAACCTTTCCAATTTTTTCGGTTCTCTTGCTTAACTTGAAACTAATGACATCATGGCGGATCCTCGGCACCGATGCGATGGGTCCGTCGTTTTTCTCTGGTCTCTGAAGACATGTGGCTCCGCTTAGCCGCAGGCGGCTACTACAAGTTATTTAAATCTCTGTACGAGACTCTTCATATAATCCCGATCGAACTTCACTTACAGGTAAGTGCGTTTGATCGTAGAATTATGCCTCGTATCTCATTCTCGAGATCACTATCTAGTACCGCTACTGCTCACGTGTTGTCGCCACAGCCGTTAGCAAAACTCGGTGGAAAAAATTTCCCGGCATGCTCTTGCACTGTCCCTCGTCATAACTAGGGTCTTTCAACTCTATGCCAAAAATTGAAGCTCGGGGGAGGGGCTAAAATAGTATAAAATGCTGCTGTTGAGGTCGCCACCAGCCTCACGCGCAGGCGCAGTAATATACAGTTTGGAAAATGAGCTTAAAGGCGGTGGGGTTGATTAAACATCAAAATTCGAATCCTTTATAACAAAAAAAAAAATTTCAAACAAAATTATGAAGCGAGTGATAACAAATATTTCTTTAGTACAATTAATGGGAGAATAAAATATATATCAAGAGGTTTTAAGGAATGTCTCCGAATCTTTCTTAAATCTTGACGTATAATCTAAATAAATAATCTTAATAAATAAGATGAAAACAATTTATTATGATGAATTATCGATCATATTCAAAACACAAACAATAAATATAGAATTAATGTACGTGAAAAAGAGAACTCCACGTGAATCGGAGAATGACTAATTGATAAGGATTTCAATCCTACGTCCAACTTGACCCATCGATAATTCTCGTGCATGAATGTGAACAATATAACATGTCATCTACCAACCCAATCAGCCTCTTTTGAAAATCAACAGATCCGAAAGTCCCCATTATATTGCCCGGGTTCTTTTGAAATAAATGTCTGGAAACACAGCAAACGCAAACTAAGAAATTATTGAATAAGTAGAGTAAACTATTTTCAAAGTAGAAAAAGCTATTTTCAGGATAGAATAGTCCATTTTTCTATAGAAAAGAGATCTGAATGAAAATTGAATTGTTAGAATTAATCAATTAATTATTGGAATTGCTAGAATGAATATTATTATTCAATGACGGTTCAATTAGTTTTTATTGTAAATATTTCCAAACTACAACGAAATATGAATTAGGTGAATTTTCTGTAGATTTTTTGGCTCATACGTTTGAATTTCGATTTTGTTTGTTCATAATCAGTGTAATGATGAGCTTTAAAATGGAGTTTGGTCTTGAAATAATGAGCCAAAGACTAAGAAGTTCTAGGGTGCGACAGTCGATCGGAGTTGGCCAGTAAATTCCAAGTATTGGTATCGGCTGCTCTGAGGATGACTTGGGAACTTGGGAGCTGGGATCTGGGAACTGAGAACTGGAACCTGAGAACTGGGACCTGGCTGGGGCTCGTTGCTCTCCTTTGGATTTCCTTCATTTCGGACCTCTTCACTTTCCTCCCCCTCTCCACTTTGCTCTATATTTATATTAATATTGATGGAATTAGTGTTGAAATAGATAGGATGGGACAGGACAAAGTGGAAGGGTGGGGTAAAAGGGTTGATTATTTCAGTCTTTTG